TCAAGTCCTGTGCAAAAACGCATGATCGCACGGGCCCGTCCGGTGCGTTCCAGCCTGGGTTTTTGTCTACTAAACCTCTAAAATTTGAATTCATGTATGCCTTGTTCCGGAGTAGTTTTCAGGCTAATTAAGCAGTCAGGATTGCAAAAAGAAGCATACTAAGCTCCCAGTATTATTTCCCACATCTGGTTTCGACACCGTTACCAAATTTTAGGCGTTGTCAGTAAACTGCTCCTTGTCCTTCTCTTCGACTTTTCGACAACGACCAGTTAGGTGTGATAAATGATTTTTCAAACTTTCTTAAAATACTGGAAGTTCTTTGTGGCATTAGCAAAGTTTCGTAGCACAGCACTTTACAGGGAGCCCTTGCTTGACAGTCCTAATGACTCGGTGTTACTGGCATTTTAATTGTTTTTTTGTAATTTGCTTCACTTCGCTGAATGCATATAAAATATTGATATTCAACCCACGTTTTGGCAAAAGCCTCGTGCGATTTATTGGCAGCATTGCTGACACACTGGTCGAAGCAGGACACGATGTGGTACGTGATTGGTCTTTTTTTGTTAAAAGTCAAGCAGTTTCGAGTTTCATGTAAAATCAGACAAATTTGAATTTCACAGTCGGTACGCTGCTAAATTTTAGAACCACAACTGTTTTAGAACCACAACTGCAAAGAGGAGAAATAAAAAAGCAGGCAAGGGAAAGAGAACGAGGTCAAAAGTCTTCCTTTTCACTGATTGATGAAAGCCTTTTTTCTTCTTTTAATCGAAAATCAGTATTTAAAAATTATGGTTTTTTTTGGAATGTCAGTTAGTTTCTGAAATTTTCTATTTCCACAGCTGTTACAACTGATGCTGCAGCATCTAATAGTGCCCGCTGTCCTGAATTTCATTTTTTCTTTTAGCATAGGGAGTCAATTCTATGGTTATCACGACTGGAGCACTTGAAAAGCCTCAGCCTTCCAAAATGTGTTTGGTGTTTATTGAGCATATCGTCTTATCCTGAACATAGCTGGTCGTGAAACTAATGTGAAAACTTACTTATTTTAACAAAAAATTTATTAAAACTGGATTTTTTTTTCGTGGAAGCATCTGACTAGCATTTTGCAGACGCAGTTTTCACCGACATTGACCTCACTTGCTGATACAAACGGTTCTCGACTGGCAAAAACGATAAACGTAGATTGCGAAAAGCAGCTCAAGGAACTGTTTGATGTGGATGCTTTTGTGCAATATTCCTGGAAACAGAAGTATCAATCTGTTTCTGGTGTTTTTAGTGTAGGTTTGTACGAATCTTTGCACAAAACAGTTATAAGCTATCGTAGTCTGCAGTATTCATATGAATAACTTTTAAATTAGCCATCCATCAGTCTGCCCCAGCTTTTCCCCATCTGTCCACGGAAATGAAATGCCCCGCCTAGTTGGGTCCTCAAAAGAAGTCATGCTACTTATTTCGACCGTCATCGTTAACCCCACCCTTTACATAATATTCTTCGAGCAGGATGCTTCTCCAAAGAATATTTTAGAATTTTTTAAAATTTTTATTTGCAAAAAAGCCAAATGTCATACGCTTGAAAAAACGGAAACATAGTTGTCACTGCACTGAGAGCCGTTGCAGAGATGCGTTTTTTCCACAGTTTTTTTGGCAGAAGTTTATTGCTAATAGTACTGCTTCTTCCGAAAGGTGCTTCTAGCTAAATTAGAATTGAGACTATCCAAAACATTGTCACACTTATTATAATGACACCCAGCAGACATGATTGTGGCAATGCTCGAAAATATTTAGCACTCTAGCTGCTTTCGTTAGTTAGTTAAAAATATCCGTTTGTTTTTCCGCAAGACGTACATGCAGCATAAAAGAAGCGTAAAACTGCTTTCACAGCCACCTACTTAAGCACGGTGTCACTTGCAATGTTCAAAAAATTTCAATCCTCTGGCTACTTCAGTTCCGAAGTTACAAAATTGTCTGCAACAAATTTTATCTGCCCGTAGGTGATATGTAAGGCTGGGGGACGGGGTGGAAGATCAATTTGCTTTCACAACTACATCAGTGGGCGGTAAGCAAAGTTTCAAAATTACAGCTCTCTACAATTTCCTATTCACTTTGATTTTCGAGTTGGAATCATGCCTATTTAAAATTTGACGCGTACTCGTTGCGTAAAAGCCGAATTTAAATCCTTTGAGTTACTTGCGGGCGAGGAACATCTGCGTTTTTGCGCTTTTCGTGCAGTAGCAAAATCACAAGGAATCGCAATAGTAACCCCATGACATACTGGCCCTCGAAATTCCAGAAATTAATTGTGCTGCTATGTGGCATGTCAGTTATGGATTTCGAATTCAGTGACCCGACAAACAGAAAGTTGTTGGTCGACGAAAAAGGCTGCACTAGAAGAGTTAAATTTGAAACCTTTTGTCGCGCATAAGTAGGGGAATTTCTTAAAATTAAAGCCTTCCAGACTTTCTCGTAACCGAGTTAGCAGGCTTCCCATCAAAATTTTCACGTGTCCGTATGTGAATATCGGACGGTTCGATGAAGCCGAATCTGGAATCTTTTGGTCGTACATAAATAGGGAGCAGTAACCTAAAGTTTCGGCTTTCTAGCTGTCCTCGTTCCTGAGTTATGAATTTTCCCGCCATAATTTTCACGCTTCCGTTCGTAAGCCCCGAGCGGTCCTGGGCAGCTGAATTTGAAATCTTTTTGTCATACACGGACAGGTAACATTGCCTTAAGGTTCCAACTTTCCAGCTTTTCTTGTCGCTGAGTCAGCAATTTTCCCGCCTAAATTTTCGCTTGCTCGTACGCGGGGCTCAGACACGCATGAGAGTTGATATAGCGATCCTGGAGTGGCGCTTGGCTGGGGAACACACTGGGAAAATTTCACCTTCAAAGACTGCGTGATTGGGGAGTTAAAATAACGGGATAGACGAACACACACACACAAGCACACACACACACACACA